AAAAATCTGTTTCTAAATCAGTGGATTTGATCCTGTGAATGACCTTTAACCTCGTCCTGTGGTCATCAACATCCCAGGTACAGGTAAACTGCTTCACGTTAACGTTGGACAGAAGGTGTTTTTAGTGCAGGAAGCACTAACCTCAACTTCTTGTTCACTTCCTGTGATGGAACCAAGCGTCTGTGTTTGGATCGTGTCAGCGACGAGGAGCTAGCAACGCCATCCAAGCCACGACTGCAGACTCTCCTGGGACTGGCGCATGCCTGCTGCTACCATCACATGATCGACATGATTGACAGACACGCTGCCAAAGTGGTCGCAAGAAAAATTAGTTTTGATTTAAAGGCTTTGTTGGAGGCACAGGTGGGTGATGGTCGCTGATGGTGAGAGGTCTTGGTGTCATATGCTTAACTTCCTGTTTGGGTTTTTTATTCTAGTGTTTGAAGCTTTGAAAGATTTCGTTATTATTCTAACGCTGACTCTGATTTCGTGTCATATCGTTGAGATCCTGCTTCTGTTTGACTCTGTGGTTTTCTGATTGGCTGTCGTGCGATCCTGTGTTTTGGTTCATGTCTCCATTATTGTTTCACTTTGTGGTTTCTACTGAGAAGTTGTTGTTTTTATTTACTGGACTTGGTGCCTCCTTGTCTCTCACATCTTGTTGAGCGTTCATGTCAGTGTTTGTGATGGTCTGCTCCTCCCTGATTGGTTCACCTGCTGGTCATTACTTCCTCACTTGTCCCACTGCAAATTTTGGGAACATATTTAATCTCTGAGATATCTCAATATAGTGAAATACAACTTTTTGGGCTTTAGTTAAAGAAACAAACGTGTAAAATGACACATAACGTTGTTTAAACCTCGTGTTTCTCTCGTCTTTGTTGCGTTTCCATATCTCAGCTTCGATTATCAAAGCTGTTCTTTGGACTCTGGTTGTCTTAGTTGATTATTTTGCCACCAGCCTAATGAAAGCCAGAAATCCATAAATGGAGATTTTATATCTGGTGCTGTGGATTTATTGTGTTTGCCTTGGTAGTATTACAACAGAAATGTTTCCAGTAACGTTTTTATCTAAATATTTATATAGAATATGTATATTCTGTAATTTTTTTAAGGTATATAAAATAATATTTGAAATATGGAAAAATTGGACTCACTAAATAGTAAAACAATAATAATATTAATAACAATTGGGAAATACTCCCAAAAGATGTTTTTAGAGCAGATACTGTTGCACAGATTCACTTTGATACTTTCAGTTACCTGGATAAAACTGCATGTCAGAGCATTTTTCGATCATCAGCCCGCTGAGGCTGAAATTAAAAATACTAAAGTCTGATATGTAGCTTCATAATCATCTCTTCAAGCACTCAGCCTGTTGATTTATGAATAGTTAACCCCTTTAAGTAAATCCCATTTTTACGACCTTCCAGGGGTAAAACAGGATTCTTGAAACTACCGGCTAAACGTTTTCCGTAACAGGAAGTGAAGGTTAGCGAACATCAGAGATGGGCAGTTACTGTAATCTGATTACTTTTTTCAAGTAACGAGTAAAGTAAGGGATTACTATTGCAAAAACGGTAATTAGATTACCGTTACTTTCCCGTAGGAACGCTGCGTTACTGCGTTACTAAAACCGTGATTTTTTTGCGAGAATGTCTCACGACAGTGACGTAAGCGAGTGCGACGTTCGTGACAACAGCTGTGTGCAGATCAACAGTGGATCACATATCGAGTGCAGAGAGAGTATGAGCGTGCAGCGTTTAAAGCGTGGAAGTACTGACCTTACTTTGAGTTTGATTCCATAAAAAGTGACAAAAACATTAGTGTCCGCTGTGCGTGGGAAGAAAACTTCTTTTTACAGCGAAAAACCCCTAAACTTCCAACAAGCACCGAGTAGCTACGACGTAATGGGAAACTCACAGAGAAACTCGCGGATTCTTCCACTGACCGCGGCACACCTGCACCAGGGTAAACCTCCGCCTACCCCACTCCTGCTTTACAGGTGAAAATAGAGCAACAGGACCGCTGAGTCTTTGACTTTATTTATTTTCTGCTGTGTTTTACTTGCATCTATTTGAAAGACTGAGTGTAAACACAAAAAATATTTTATTTTATGTGCTGGAATGTGCAGAAAATAGGTTTAAATGTTAAACTAATTTCTTCCAGTCAGAGAATGTTGCATATAATTAAATTTTGCTTGATGCATAAAGTTAAAAGATTAAAACTAATAAAACAAGTTTTAAAAAGAGACTTTTCCATTTGATTACATTTTGTATGATGGATTATGCAGAAAAAGTAGAATTGGGCTGAAAGATCTATCGCTTTATCACCTCTTCAGGTTGTAAATCGTGTTTTTAAAAAGTAACTAAGTAACTAAGTAATTAATTACTTTTGAAAATAAGTAATCAGTAAAGTAAGGGATTACTTTTTGGGAAGTAATCAGTAATTAGTTACTGATTACTTTTTTCAAGTAACTTGACCAACACTGGCGAACATTAATGGAAAACGCTGCAAAAGCACATAAAACACAACGGAAATAGGAAAAAACACAAGGGAAGTGTTTCTGGGGAGACAATAACCCGACGGACCAGTTGCAGGAACCCAAAACATGGTGGGTGTGTCTTATCATGATTCATAAAATACTGATAATGGATTTTTGTGCTAATAGTTAGGCTAACACACTTACTGTTCATCTTTTCTTTCTCTCAGCGCAGTTCTCAGCATATTTTGGGTTATTGTCTCCCCAGAAACACTTCCCTTGTGCTTTTGGAAATCAGTTTTTTCCTATTTCCGTTGTGTTTTGTGTGCTTTTGCAGCGTTTTTCTTATTGCTGGTGTTTTCTTTAGTTGCAGTCCGTTTGGCCTCTCAGGGCCACCGTAAAGTTGTCCTAAGATGGCACACTATCTCGTATCAGTTCAGTGACATAAATGATAAAATGCAGATTTGATTTGAGTAAAACAACATTTTCTACTCAGCCTTTTTGCATTTCCTCATTTCTTATTTTAGCTTGCACATTATTTCTTTCTCTCAACAGGTGAAAAAAAAATCCTCCCCTGAAGTGTTAATGGGTAAATGTGACACTGCAATCAACACATCAGTGCAGGATTTTTACGCCCTCGAGCACGAAATAAAGAGCAAAGTAAAACGATAGTATTCACCTCATCTAATGAGAACCACATGCACCTGCTTTGCTTTGCTAGCTAATATATTGAAAGTAAAAACTAACAAGTAGCTAATTTTATTTAATGTGAGTGCATTTCAATACATTTAAAAAACACATTTTTCACTGTCAGTCTTTGAATATTTCAGTATATTTTCCAGTGTGTGTCACATGTATGTGCGCTGTGTAGCAGCACAGCGTAAAATGACAGTACAATGCAGATGTGATGCTGTAAATCAGTCGAGTGTATTTAATCGTGTTTCTCTGCTTGCATGAAATTAAATGTCATGTTTTCACCTCTTGCAGGTTTTCTGTTGACGATACTCAGACTCTCTCAGGCGCTGTGTGCCTCACATTTCCTCATTCATGTCTGTTTAAGCTCTAATTCACACGCACTGAGGTCACACTCTCGGTTTGGAGCATAAAAGAGCAGCGGGACGACGGACACGAGGTTAGATACACAGACAGACAGTCATTAAGACATTCCTCTGCACGCCGAAGCGCTCACTCATCCCTCGGCCTCTTTCTTCTTTTGTATTTCAGCCACACACTCCTGAAGGCTGCTGGGAGAGGCACGGGAGGGCGTCTCTGTCTGGACCTGCGTCGCTATGGGTCTTCAGTCCAGCACTGCACAACAGCAGCAGCAGATTTGGAGGGCGTTTGGCTCGGTTCATCGGCTCTGAACGAGCGGCACCGCGGTGGCTCTGATTGGCTGGCTGGACATCCACTGAGCGCGACTTCAGGTGACGGAGAGGTTTAAGGTAAGACTCGTGTTTTCATACTGAGACAGCAGCTGTTGACTCTCAGCTCAGTCTGGCTGGTGTCTTCGGTGCTGTTATGCTGCTGAAACTTCTGAATTCTGATTGGTTGGAAGGTGTGGATTTAAATAACTGGAAACCTGTAATGGAGGCGATATTCTGCCAATATGAATCAGTGTGCTAGCAACAAACTGCAAGCAGAGACAGCCAGTCCTCAGCTAAGGAGAAGCTAGAGAGCTCAGGTTATTTCTGTAAACACCAGCAACAATCTAAGGAGGACAAACCAAACTGGACACCTCGATGGGTGATGTCACAGTGGTTCAGGCCATCCTTTATATACAGTGGATTAACTGTGCAGTTTGGTTCAGATGGAAAGCTGAAAACAGATTGAAGGAGATTAAAAAGAAAAATTTAAATAAAAAGTTACAATTGTTTTTTTGTAAACAAAGCAAATGCATTTTTTCCAGTATCCAGCAGGGGGCGACTTCTCTGGCTGCAAAAACACGATTGTCTATGACAAAATTGATCTATGACAAAATTGATCTATGGACTCTATAAACACTTCCCTGATCATGTTTAATGAATATAAGATGAGTTTGTTTTGTAAATTATAATCCCAAACACCACTTTATTGACACTAAGAGCAAAAAAGCAGCGTGTTTTTCAGGTAAGCTACTTTTGACTGATGAAGTCAACATCTAAAAGTCCAGCTGAAGGCTTTTTAAGGAGGACTTTGTTTAACCAACATTTCTGTCTGTTTTACAATTTGTAATATGGCTCCAAACACCAGCTCATAATTATCCCCACTGAAGCTTAGGGTTTAGTCACACCAGAGTGAACACCAGAGCACAGTAACGTCCCCGTGATGACCAACAATCAGTGGTTGCATTCAGTGTTTTTGCTGTCAGAGACTGATTGGTAGAATTTTCCTGACAGGAAGCAACCGATCTGCAAACAGTCCAACAATCACTGTCCAAATAATTACAGTCTGATTTATAAATGCAGGTTGTAAACAATCTAAGCTGGTCTGCATCGATTAACTCGGATCATCTATGACGTGTCTTTGCAGTAGGGGACTTGACTAAGCTGGATGCCAACTGGTTGTATTCTGGTTAAAGTCCTATAGTTAGTGGTTGGTCTTCGTCACTAAAGCACCCCTGTTTCTCCCTCGTGTGACTGCAGGATTAGCCGGGGCTTACATCTTGTTTTTCTTTCCACCAGTTTTAATAAATTAAACGTTAGCGTTCAAATGCTGAAATGCTCGTTTCAGTGGTGCTCAAGCGGGTTCTGGCAGCACTTCCAGCTACTAATAACTGGACTGTGATTAAATCTGTTGTATCAATTATTTGTGGTATTTTAAATAGCCGATATATTGGCTCACAAATGGAGTCATATTCTTTACCTGAGCCGAGCGTCAGCATCAGGTCACATGATGACGGCCTAAAGGCCTGTGCTAAGAGAGCAGGAAGCTAGCAGCTGGTTATTTAATGCAGCGGTCCCCAACCCCCGGGCCACGGACCAGTACTGGTGCCCGAGTCGTTTGGTACTGGGCCGCGAGAATTGAAGCTCAGGTGTGAAATTTATGGTTTTCAGGGTTTTTATCGTTGTTTTTTTTTATTGTTTTTATCGTTAACTCGGTTTCCCTGTTTTTTTCTTTCCTGTGTGTTATTAATAAATATTTTTTTGGTACCAGTACTGGTTTTATTTGTAGCATTTATCCGCGACACCTTAAAGGTCAGTCCGTGAAAATATTGTCGGACATAAACTGGTCCGTGGCGCAAAAGAGGCTGGGAGCGGCAGATTTAATGTATTGTGAAATATGTCGTTGGTGAGTCCTGAGTGAGCGGACACCAGCTTTCCCGGCTCATCGGCCTGTTTGTTGGCTTTGCCTGTGAATCTAAGCTCACGTCCAGGTGTTTGATGAAACTGCCGCCATTACAGCCCCTACAGAGCTGCTGAGTTTGTGTGGTTTGTTGGTTTGCTGGCAAAGTGGTTTATTTACTTGTATTACACTTTTCTTTTCAGTTCCCAGCCACCAGATGAGTGTAATTTGTTTTTGAACACCACAATTAGATAGAAAAACCATGCATAACTAACGTTTCACAGAATAATGCATAACGCTCTTATCATATTATAAATAACTCACACTGCCAACCATACAGCCCCCCAACCCCAAAAAAAAAAACACCTCAAAAACAAAAAAATTCCAAAACCCCCACAATATTTAAAAATAAAAGTGTTATATGAAAATTGTGCACACACACATCTTCACACCCCCTCTCTCTGTTTCTTCCTCACCCTTTAAAAATCAAAAACAACGCGAGGCCGCGATTTTAAACACGTCGACTTCGAGTCAAACGAAGGTCAGCAGGATGGCATCGTAAACTCTTTTCATGGTGTCGTAGATTTAAATGTGAGGGACAAGGAAGTGAAAGTAACTTAGAGCAACCCCAATTATGAATGATTAAAAAACTTAAAACTTGACAAAGAAACCAAACCTGCAGAAACAAATCAGGGGATCCAAACAGTGGGAGCTCTGAGGAGGCCAACAACAGGAGTTAAAACCTCAAACAGGCTCAATTATATCACAAAAACTCAGCACAGTAACACAAACCTGGCACCGTGTCATCTTGTGTATTTAGCCGTCGAGTTCATTAGTTCATATCACCCCCTGCAGCCGCTCGGGCCCATCGGGATGGTCTTCACTGTGAGAGCCACGGATCCAGACGCGGCCGCCCAACACTCCCATCCGGCCTTTTAAAAACACCTTTTTCCATTTTATGAGTAGGACCAGAGTTAGCGTGCAGTCAGGGTTTTTATTCTTCTTTATTTTGTTCATTTTGTTTATATTGTTTAATTTTCTTTGTCGTTTAATGTACGAGATTTATCTGCTTTTTACTGGAAAGCACTTTGGTCAATGGTGTTATTTTTAAAGTGCTCTATAAGTAAAGTTGGATTTTTAGAGTGAACTTTTTACACTAATGCAAAATTATGTTTTAAGTCATTTTATTAATCTTGCCCACATGAGGTCACACTGGACTCGTGTTTCTCATGATGACAGATGAATTGACAGCTGTGGGTAAAGTGAAGCACACAGCAGCATCACTGTATGAGGCGACATGTTGTGATTTGAATCCATTTAATTAAATGTTTGTGTTTGCATCCTGCAGTGTAAGGAACTGTCCCACTATTGCATGTTAAAGCATATCTCAGCATTACAAGTATGATCGATTTCACACCACAATGGACTTTTCTCAGGTTATAAACGTGTTATAAACGTGTAAACCGTGTTGAAGCTGCGTCAAAAGTGTTGCTGGGGTTTGATCGCTTAAGCGAGCCAGAGCTTTGGGCTTACTCCAACACAAAACTGTGGTCTTAAAATGTGTTGCATCAAATTGATAAATAACTGAAAGTATATTGAATTTTTTAGATGTGGCATTAGATTTTTTAAGCCACACAGGAAAAAGAGGAGCCTGGACCTCGAACTAACGTGGACGGCATCACGAGGGTTTCAGTCCTGCTCTGTTTAGGCTTTTTTCATGAACGCAGCTTTTCAAACTCACGTGACTTGACGCTGTTGTCATTGGTTAGTGATTCTAAAAATCTTTGCAGCAGTTTATGACGTACGGCTCATACAAACACAACCGAGAGCTTAAACTGGATGTAGAAACGGAGAGCTAGTTTTCTGTGATATTCACAACACATTTCACCTGAATAACTGTGCGAATTAGATGTAGTGTTTATCTTTTGATCACCAATAAAGTCAATGTTACTGGATATTTAAATATGAACAAATATTCTAAAAATCTAAGATCAAATAAAAGCACATTAATACATTTAGAAGCACCAAACATTTAAGAGTCGTAGTTCCTAAATTTTAAGGCTTTTTGTCAATTTTCCACCAATAATTCATTAAGTTGACGTTAAAGAGCTAAATGGATGTCAGCTACATTTTTTTATGGATCGTAGACACGACCCCACTCCACACCCCCACTGAGTTTTATCAGCATAAAGTCAAAACTTGAAAATGAGCTGTGGTGTTTACAGAGGGACACGAATGCACACGAACGCTACCAAAAACAGAACCTACTGATGATAACGATTTCAACAAAGGATTTAAAGAACGTGCAGAACAAATTTTACCAAGAATGGTCATTTTACTCTTTCTCAGTGTAAGCATGCACGTCTTTATTAAAAAGAGCAAAAAATAATAGAACTTGTATTTTATTTACAAAACAGGAGCAATAACTGATGTATTCTTCATTAAAGAGAAAAAATAGGAGTGACTGGAAATGAAAATGTGATTTCTATAACACATTTTCTTACACTTAAACAAAAGAGAAACAAAGACATGACCACACGAGCTGTTAATATAGACAAACTTAATGAATTATTGATTAACAGAACATTAAAGCATACACTACTGAACACGGATATGCACCCAGAGGAATTAAAGATAGGAAAGCCTGAATAATGCATTGGGATATGGAAACAGTTGTGATGGATCTGAGGTCTACTCTAAGCCAGACTGGATCTAATCCTGGATCTGAGACCCCCCCCGACCCGTTCACCCTGCCCACAGTGTGGCAGGTGACTCGTGTGCAGGATACAGGTCTGGTATTCAGCATGTGACAGACAAATATACTGTATTTTACCCCAGCTCAGTCTCTATGTGAATAATATAAACATGCATTACTACACTCATTTATTCCCTTAAATCCATGAAGCTGTTTGGCACAGTAAACTCTGCATAACTGAATAATATAGCAAAAATAACTTCCCGCCGGCTTCACTTATCTACAGTATTTCATTCTTTATCGGTGCTCCATCACTGCTCCAGATCGCCACTGAGGCACATGATCCGTGGTTGAGCGTGTCGGAAGGAGGCCGACTGCTGCTGCGGTGTTGAAGTTAAAGAAGCGTTGACTTGGAAATACTGGACACCACCAGAATGTAGGAAAAAAGACTATAACCTCAATGCAGTCCCACATAAGACGAGACAG